AGATCCTAGCCTACGTCTTGGAATATATAACCCAAATAAGAATTTTTACTAGATATTGTCATCTGAATGAGTAAGTAACAAGTCTGCCACTTTTGTTCTGACCAACTGAGGAAAAAGCATTAAAATAAACCATGCTACCAATGGTGATTAAATCTAACAATCTGTTAATTAGCTCACATCACATCAAACTGTGCAAATTATTATTATTGTTATACTTTGTTCTCAAATTGTTAATGTTCACAACATCAGCATTACGTGACTATGTGTATATAGTGTGTATTAGCGAGTAGATTTCAATTTCTGTACAGTCTAATCTCTAATTGTCATACCATTCGAATTTCATATTAAGAAATTCTTTTAACCACTGAGGAAAAAGCATTAAAATAAACCATGCTACCAATGGTGATTAAATCTAACAATCTGTTAATTAGCTCACATCACATCAAACTGTGCAAATTATTATTATTGTTATACTTTGTTCTCAAATTGTTAATGTTCACAACATCAGCATTGCGTGACTATGTGTATATAGTGTGTATTAGCGATCAGATTTCAATTTCTGTACAGTCTAATCTCTAATTGTCATACCATTCGAATTTCATATTAAGAAATTCTTTTAACCCAAAAACAAATTATTCTTCATGCGAACTGGTTCTCTTTACAATACAAATCTTGTGTAATCTCAGGCTATCTGTAATCAGACGCACATTTAAAACTGGAATATAATTTAATTTAAGTCACATGTATTTCATAAACACATAATCCTTTCTGGATTACAATCCGCCATCAAAATTATGTTATGGTTATGTACTTGCTAAAATATTGATTTCGGATCATTTTTAACCAAAAAAAGTTACGGACTGCAGCTTTAAGTCTTGGGAAAATGTGATTTCTTTGGCAGGTGATCAGGAAAGATTTTGGCTTCTGGAAGGATTTTGACTTTGGGACGACGTGCCAGTACCGATCAGACTTCATCAACACAGGTAATGCAGTGAGATTCTGCTATGTGGTTGAGTTTTCCATGTTTGATCTTCTGTTTCCTCTAAGGTGGATTTTATGTGTCTGTGAAAGGTGGAGCTACAGAAGATGTTCATCTCTACAGGAAGTTCCTCCACAGCAGTCTGATGGTGGTTCGCGCTCCGTCACGCGGCCTGTTTCACGTGTGGCATCCGACCGTCTGTCACGCACATTTATCCAGCGAGACATTTAAACTGTGTTTGCAGGATAAAGCGCTGAACCAGGCGTCTCACAGTCAGCTGGGACAAATCATCTTCCACCAGCAGATCAACAATCATCTGCACAAATACAAACACAATATCAAGTCATGAGGAACAGATCTGACAATTATTCAAAGACAATGATGAAATATGAACTTATATTGAGATATAAATCACTTATTGTGTTTGAGCTGAAGGACACTAATAAGTTCTGTAGAGCTGCTTTACAGCAGAAATTCAATGTATTTCAAAATATTTTTTTTTAATCTCTCACTAGAATGAAACCGAATAGCATTTAAATCTGTTAATTGAACAAAATCGACCAGCATTTCAATCTGTTAATCAAACAAAACAGACCGACATTTAAATCTGTTAATCAAACAAAATCGACTGACATTTAAATAATTTCATTGAACAAAATCAACCAACATTTAAATCTGTTAATCGAACAAAATCAACTGACATTTAAATAAATTTATTTGAACAAAATCAACCAACATTTAAATCTGTTAATCGAACAAAATCAACTAGCATTTAAATCTGTTAATCGAACAAAATCGACCAGCATTTAAATCTGTTAATCGAACAAAATCGACCAGCATTTAAATCTGTTAATCGAACAAAATCAACTAGCATTTAAATCTGTTAATCGAACAAAATCGACCAGCATTTAAATCTGTTAATCGAACAAAATCAACTAACATTTAAATAATTTCATTGAACAAAATCAACCAACGTTTAAATCTGTTAATTGAACAAAACCAACCTACATTTAAATCTGTTAATCAAAAAAAATCAACTGACATTTAAATAATTTAATTGAACAAAACTGACCGACATTTAAATCTGTTAATTGAACAAAACAGACCAAAATTTAAATCTGTTATTCGAACAAAATCGACTGACATTTAAATAATTTTATTGAACAAAATTAACCAACATTTAAATCTGTTAATCGAACGAAATTGACCGATATTTAAATCTGTTAATTGAACAAAATCGACCGATATTTAAATCTGTTAATTGAACAAAATCGACTGACATTTAAATAATTTTATTGAACAAAATTAACCAACATTTAAATCTGTTAATCGAACGAAATTGACCGATATTTAAATCTGTTAATTGAACAAAATCGACCGATATTTAAATCTGTTAATTGAACAAAATCGACTGACATTTAAATCTGTTAATTGAAGAAAACCAACTGAGATTTAAATCTGTAAACCGAAAAAAAAAAATCAACTGACATTTAAATAATTTAATTGAACAAAATCAACCAACATTTAAATCTGTTAATCAAACAAAACCTTTTGACATTAAAATCTGTTTATCGAACAAAATCGACCAACATTCAAATCTGTTAATCGAACAAGCCTAAACAACACTGTTTTCCTGTAATGTGAAGCTGCTTTGAAACATCTGTATTGTATAAATGGCTTTATAAATAAAACTGACTTGACTTCAGTGTGGCCTGTTTATTTTACATGTTAAACAGTGTTTGGAATGTTATGAAACCTGAATGAGAATGCAGAAGCTCTGCTCTATTTTAGGCATCACTGAACGTGACTCTGCGGAGGAAGAGGAAGCGGTGGGTGGAGCCTGTAGATGATTGACAGGCGGAGGGATTGACCTCACCATCATGCGATATGCAGTAACCGGAGATAAAACGGCGACATACCATTTAAATCTGTTAATCGAACAAAATCGACCAGCATTTAAATCTGTTAATCGAACAAAATCAACTGACATTTAAATAATTTCATTGAACAAAATCAACCAACGTTTAAATCTGTTAATTGAACAAAACCAACCTACATTTAAATCTGTTAATCAAAAAAAATCAACTGACATTTAAATAATTTAATTGAACAAAACTGACCGACATTTAAATCTGTTAATTGAACAAAACAGACCAAAATTTAAATCTGTTAATCGAACAAAATCGGCCGACATTTAAATCTGTTAATTGAACAAAACAGACCAAAATTTAAATCTGTTATTCGAACAAAATCGACTGACATTTAAATCATTTAATTGAACAAAATCAGCCAACATTTAAATCTGTTAATCGAAAAAAATCGACCGATATTTAAATCTGTTAATCGAACAAAATCGACTGACATTTAAATAATTTTATTGAACAAAATTGACTGACATTTAAATAATTTTATTGAACAAAATTAACCAACATTTAAATCTGTTAATCGAACGAAATTGACCGATATTTAAATCTGTTAATTGAACAAAATCGACCGATATTTAAATCTGTTAATTGAACAAAATCGACTGACATTTAAATCTGTTAATTGAAGAAAACCAACTGAGATTTAAATCTGTAAACCGAAAAAAAAAAATCAACTGACATTTAAATAATTTAATTGAACAAAATCAACCAACATTTAAATCTGTTAATCAAACAAAACCTTTTGACATTAAAATCTGTTTATCGAACAAAATCGACCAACATTCAAATCTGTTAATCGAACAAGCCTAAACAACACTGTTTTCCTGTAATGTGAAGCTGCTTTGAAACATCTGTATTGTATAAATGGCTTTATAAATAAAACTGACTTGACTTCAGTGTGGCCTGTTTATTTTACATGTTAAACAGTGTTTGGAATGTTATGAAACCTGAATGAGAATGCAGAAGCTCTGCTCTATTTTAGGCATCACTGAACGTGACTCTGCGGAGGAAGAGGAAGCGGTGGGTGGAGCCTGTAGATGATTGACAGGCGGAGGGATTGACCTCACCATCATGCGATATGCAGTAACCGGAGATAAAACGGCGACATACATCGAACCATCGCCATAAAACGCATATGATTCACGGAAACGTGATTAGAGAAGCAGCCGGGTGTTTCTTCGCTCGATGATCAGATTATCTCCAGTTTATGCTTTCGTGATAATAAGTTAAAGAGCTGCATTGTTTTTATCTGATGTAAATAAATGCTCAGTTATAAGTTCCCCAGAGGCTCCAGAAGTGTGTTTGCGGAACTGAGAATGTTCGAGACTAAAGGAATCTTCAGTGTTTGTGTGGACGTCAGCTGCGTGCTGCTCGGTAAGACATTCACAATCACAACAGAAACTCTACAGATGTCTGGCCTGTCTCAGCAGCCGATGAGTTTGCGCAGTAAATCTGCGTTATTATTGTTTCCGCTTGAGATTCTTATGGATCACAATGTATCACTGACGCGCGAACATTGTTTCAGTTCCGCTCTTTGATGAAACATTCATTTCAGAAGCACATCCGTCCATGTATATTACCACGCATACTCATTATAGGTTATTATACACACTTTTATTATTGCTCAGAAACGCATAAGTACGAGCTTGTATCGAGATACAGTTCTTTAGTCTCTTTTATGAGGTGAGATAAAAGTACAGCTGTAAGTGTTCACAGATAAGTTGTGTTTATACTGTAGAAATGGCCCAGCTAACAAAAAGTGCTCTAAGAATGTTTTGTCAATGTTATTTCTAAACCCTTACGAAAATGAACCATGGTTTTACTACAAATAAAACTATTTTGGTTACTATAGTTATTAACCACAAATTAACCATGGTTTTGCTACACTAACCATATAGTTTAACCATGGTGTTTGTAGTAAAACTGTGGTTATGCAAATGGTTATCAATATGCCAAAAAAACCATGGTTACTACACTTATACTACAATAAAACCATGGTTATTTTTCGTAAGGGAATGCTCTCTGAACGTCGTTTTTTTTTAAATAATTTAAAAACATGTTTCTTGGTTATGCAAACGTTAGAGAAAACATTAAGGGAATATTTTGTGTTATCATTTTACAGGTATGTAATAACGTTTAAAAAAACCCCCGTAAAAAAGTAAAAAATTTTAGAAAAAAAAAAAACGTTACATGAATGATGTACGAGCTAACATTTTCTGCAGGTATCAAAAAGGTCTTAAAATTCGCCTAATTAAGGCCTTGAAACGTCTTGAATTCAGAAAGTCGTGGAATTAAATGCAAAAAATTAATGTTGAATTAAGTTGATTTTTCTGAGCCCATTGGCAGATATTTGTTCTTGTTTTAATCAAACTCAACTCATTTTGATCAATTTCTCAGAAAACAAGACTTCTTACTTAACCATTTTGCTGGTCAAGTAAAAGTATCTTGAGTTAAGCATCTTTAGACATTTGCACTGGAAAATTACAAAAGTGACACATTGTGTTTCCTTTGATTTTCTTTTCTAGGTCTTACAAAGGTCTTACATTTACCTTCATAAACCCTGGTTATTAAACAACTTTGAATGAACGTTATATTAATGTTACTGGAAGAACAGTTGTGCATAAATTTGAGCGAACCTTGTCAAAACGTTCTCTGAGAGCTGGGATATTTTTTTCACAATCGTAGATGTTTAAAGCACTTATGCAACATATTCCAGATACTCACTATTAGCTCTATATTATGTGCATTATTAGATCATGCATAGAAATGCTTAAAATGTCTGTGTGCAATGATTGTGTCTCTTCAGCAGAATCTGCACTGAAACATTGTTCTTCTTCAACAACAACATACTAACAAAACAAACATCAACACATAGCCATCTGTTCCTAAAGCGCTGGAACTTCACCATTAATATTCAGTAATATTGATTTGACTGCACTGAAACATCAGATGACAACAAAACTTCTGCTTTGTCTTTGTTGCAGCTGGACTTCCATTTGCGATACTGAATATTCAGCACACGCCATTCAAAAGAGGCTTTTTTTGCAGCGATGACTCCATCAGGTACCCCTTTAAAGAAGATACCATATCCTACCAGTTACTGATGGGAATAATGATTCCATTCGCACTGTTGATGGTAAGTGTTCGGTTGCTTTCTTAACCAGTACTCTTCTTCAGGGCCCGTATTCACAAAACATCTTCAGGCTAAAAGTAGCTCATAACTCGCTGATTTAGGAGAAAATCTTAAAAATAAAGTAAGTAGCTCATAACTCGCTGATTTAGGAGAAAATCTTAAAAATAAGGTGCGTGTCAGTCCTAAATGTAGGACTCCTAAATGTTTGCTCTATCCTTGTTTTCATTAACCAGCTGGGCAAGAAGTAACAGCTGTTCGGTTTTCTTTTACGTTTGTACGTCTTACTATCAG